CCCCTCTCCCCCTTGTCTTGTCTCCTGTGTTGTTCATGGATTATTAATCGTCTTGTAGAGCTTGAATGCCGACATGGCACTCTGTAGAGCAGCCACAGAAGGCTATTGACTAGAATTTTGGTTCAAAGAAACCGCTGGGGATTTTTCAAGGGTTGCTGAACTTGTCCTCACAGCTAAGGTTAGAGTATAGATTATTCACAAACTTGGACAAAGTATGGATCAGCTGCAAGAGAAGCAGAAAAGTAACAATATGCTTAAGTTAATGGGCTATACAAGATGCAACTGGCTGAGGAAATGAGATATTAGTGACAAGGGATGCATGCCGTTGTAATGAGTTATGTCTCTGCCAGAGCTCCCGTTTGTTTGTGAAGATATTGTAGCCATAGTTTGACTATGACAAAGGGCAAGAAAGTGCAACAGAACACTTTTTTAAGTCAGAAATGTATTTTTTCCTTAATCCTGCCAGTTAGATCTTATTACTGAGATTTCCTGAAAACAATGGGCAGTGTAATTACAGTCTTGTGAAAATATAAGGATACTGAAGTGTAGTATTGTAGTGGAACAAATGAACACTGTTAGAAAATAATCTGTAATATGTGCCAGTAAAACTAGTTTATAAGTGAGAGGTCATCTGTAAGCATAGATGTTTGCAGCTACCATCTTAGTTCAGAAAGGATTTGTAGGAGGGATTTAAGTTGCAGATGTTATTTCCTTTAAATGCATAATTACACAGATAATAAATTGACCCTTTGTATATTTTTTTCCAATTAACCTTTGAGGCGCTCCTGCACAGGGAACGATTTCAAAGCCATTAATTTGCATGTCATTTAAAGATACATCACTGAATGGAACAGCACACATACAAAGCAAAATTTCACAACACCCACGCACAGATATGGGGACTCTTGGCATTCTTAGCAGTAAAATGACAACACATGTTCTAAAAAATAATTGCCGACAGGCCACAGTGGTGCACAGCTGGAGGCAGGTATTCTATAGAGACAGTGAGAAGTTAACATGATAAACACTGGAACAGCATTGGGTTTTCTACAGCCTTTGTCAGTGTGTAATTATGGCTGTAAAATGTATGTCAGTAGAGAGAGGCTACAGAACCTTCTGACAGTGGGTCTGGGCCACCTCTCCCCAGTCCATTGACACACTTTTTATAATGAACAAGACTGAGAGTAGCCCTTTTAAACATGGGCTTTGCATTTCCAAGATGCATTCAGACTAGCTCATTGTCATCGTGTCCTTTAGTCACTTTCCAACATATTTTGATGCTACGATTTTGCCGGTACATTTTTAGATTTTCATGTAATTTGTACAGCCACTTCTTTTTTGCTGTTTAACTGTTCAACTTCTACAAGTTGTCATGTTTTGAGTCATGTTTTGGCTTTTGAGACTGATCTTTTCAAGACTGTACATGTTTCTCTGCACCTGATTATTTTCAGTATTGGTATTGTCTAGACTGACTGACAGGAAGGAATTGGTCAATAAAATCACAGGGAATTGTGAGAAATGATTCAAATTTCCTGAAGCCCAAGATGCACTTAAAAGCACTTAGTCTTTTATGCTACATAGCAAATACAGGTTTTTAATAATATATTGATGGATTTAGCAGATAGACTGCAGCTATTTATCAGTGTCTGCCTATGCAAGAACAGTTTGCATTGATAGGTTTGCTTGAATATGTTTTACAGTTTAACCTGGTGTGTTATTATGCTATATGCAAAATAGACAGTGAGAGTTCATGAAGACATCTCTTTGTCTAAAAAGGAACTACAACCATTTGATTGCTAAGACAGCCTCACAATCTGGACTTACCCCACCATAACAGATACTCTCATTGATGATATGATTTAACAGGGAATATAACTAATGAGGCCTTTAGTCATCTATCACTTCCTGTTACAGAGTGTGCCAAAAACATTTTGTCCATTTTCAGGTTGAGTTTTCTGCTTTAGTTCTGTTTTCAGCAGGTCCTTATCGCCCTGATACGGTGTTGGCGTTTTTTGGCTTTCTGACATTATTGTCATTTCAGTTAGGAAGCAATAAAACCCTATTTCTGTTGGTAACAGCATTCTTGTCAATAAAATTTTATAGAGCAGCGTAGATATTTTTCTATGTAAATCATTCAAGGTTAGTCTGACATAAGGTTTGCTTAACATAAGCAGCATATGTTTTTTATTGAAAAAATCTCAGCTCAAATAGATGCCAGATCCTTCGTTATGAATACAGTCTGTGCAATGTGCTTCAGTGAAATTATAAGGAGTTAAATGCATCTCCAGAGTCTAGGAAAATATCACGTTTTTTAAGCAAATTATCATCATTATGATAACATTTGCATCCTAAGACATAAAACTGTACTTTGTTAGCGAGTCCGGCTGTGTATGTTTTTGTGAGTGAATCTGTGTGCACGTCTGCATAATCTACTGAGTATGTGTCTCAGTGCAGTACTGTGTGTGTGTCAGTCCATGTGTATGTATGAAGCTCTGGAGTACTTTCCTTAAGGATAATATGATGATGAGGTTTCTCTCATCTAAGATCTCTCAAGAGTCATTCAACTCTTACTCAACTCTTCCTTAAGTTATCGTCCATTTGAATCAAATGAGAAGATTTAAAACTACTAATCAGTAGGAGTCATGGAAGAGGGCAGTCATTGGTCTCCTCTTATCTGTGTATGTGTCTTTGCAGACATGGTAATAATGCTCCTTTTTAAATTCACTTCCAGCTAACTGTGCTGTATAAGTGAAGTGCCTTTGGGCCCTTGACACCAGGTTTCTACAAAAAAGCCTCACACAGATCACAGCATGTTTAACCATTTACAATGTGAGATACAGTAAAGTCACAACTGAGACATGTCAGATTAATGTGACCAATATAAACAACTTCAGCAAACTATTTTCTTCTTTATTTCTTTTGTCATTTGCTAATTAACTGTTAGAATGTACCGCCACATTTGTATTGCTGTGTGTTCACGTCAGACAACTTGATTTCCACAGTGAAGCGCATTTCACATTGGTTGAACTATATGTTGTTTCACTGTGATTGGCTCAGCTGTTTTGAAGTTATTGTATTTAGTGTATATATTAATCACCACATTCCACCTCACCCTGCTCTTTGCACTTTGTGCTGCTGCCTTTTTATCAACAATAAGAGCAAGTGCACATAGAGACACCCAAAGGGTCTGCACATCCAGGAACTAACACTATTGGATGTTGTGCTTGCTTATTGAAATAGGGCCCTGTAACCTGAACTTTAAGAGCGCTCCCACTCCATAGACTGTTAAAATAATGGATGTAGATAATGAGAAGATGAGCTGGGGTGATTCATCAACATAATCAGCTTCTTGCCTAAATATGGTCACTTCTGGCTCTAAACAACACGATGGCGATGGCCGAAATGTCAAACTCGAGGCTTCACAACAGGGGTCTACAAACCAGTGGGTGATATCACAGTAGCTATGTCCATTATTCTTACAGGCTATGGTGAAACACCAACCAGTAAAATGCTCTCCTTTAGGGGAAGCTGATGAACCTTCTTTCCAAAAGACCCTCCCTTTTGCAGAAATGTCTAATATCAACTATGCATGTATGCTGCATTTTTTTATGATGTATTGTGACTGTAAGTTATGGTTATTATTCACACAGTGCACATCGTGTGTATCCCATGTACTGTATGTATCCCACTGCACAGGAGAGTGGAACACCAGTGCTATGAATTGAACCTGCATGAATCTGAAGCAAGGACTAGGAGGAACATTTTACCCTCTTAACGAGGACAAATCAAACAGTGCAATCATCTCTGTTGCCCTGAGCAATGCCCATATTGGCTGAATGGTGGAAAACTTCATCTCTATTAGCAGTCAGTCCACTAGATTCAGAGGGTGAAGGAGAGAAGGGCAGGAGAAAGAAAGAGAAAGACAACTAAGAATAATAACAATGGGGAGATAACAGGTGCCCAGGAACATACACACACCTTTATCCTGGATAAATTAAACCCATGAAGGACAAACAAGATTTCTGGTACTTAGCTAACAACACTAAGATAAGAGCTCAGTCAGGCAGATCAGGCCCTGCTGCCCATAACTATCACTGAGAGACAAAGCAAACAACTTACAAACAAACAACCTAAGCCTTATCATGTCACAGACTCCACTGTGTGTTTGTTATTATTTCTGTGTCATTTCTACTGCGGAAAGAGAAGGGTAGTATAGAGAAAGGATGTGTCTTCATCACCATCATGTCAGACTGACTTACAAGCTGCAGGCAGTAACAGACTGCCATGTCAGATGTTTATTACTGAAAGTGCCATGTGCGTTATTATCTCTTTTATAGATCATGTGCAGGACATTTTTATTTCACAGCAAACAAAAAAGAAGTGGTAGACTGTGCATTTGACCTACTTAATACTACATCTGTCAGCCTGTGTGTCAGCCTTGTTGTCTTAGCTGAATAGGCTGCATGCCAAAACCTATGTATCTCTCATATATTCATCAGTTGATTAAATACAGGCCTGAAAAGTCATTTTTTTTTAATAACTAATACTAAAGCCAAAACATATCCCTTCTGATTGAAAATCGAATACAATACAGCCATATTACTCAGGTTGTATTATACATCATTCAGAATAAAAGAGTTTGATTGTCTCCAGTTCTTGACATATTCAGGACATTTCTACAGGAGAACCAAAGTTGTATTTCCAGGGTTTCACATGTACATACAATCGGCTGCCATAACAATAAATAGACAGTCTACTACTGTTGAATGTTAGTTACTGTTTGAAGTAACCATAGGAAACAGAGCCTTCTGGAATCCCATATTTTACCTGTTATGGGGGAACTGAAATTACAACGGGACAACAGAGAACTATCACATGCATAAGTGTGTGTGACTGTTTGTTTTGTTTGTTTGTTAAATTGTCAAAAGTTCTGCCCTAACTCTTGTTTTCACCTTGGTTCCTTCTGATTCTCCTCCTGTATTTTTTGTGTTTCTCTCTAGCTGAGGTGTCAAGAGAGGCTGGAGGAAGTCTGACATCTCTGTTGGTTCAGCCCGTCTCTGCCCTCCTGGCAAAGACGTTACTGTCCCCTCCATCCACAGGGCAGGGTGACTCCTGTATTCCTTTAGCCATGCCTCCCAACACAGGTAAGTGCACAAAATACAGTATGACAGGATTCTTTTAATCAATCAGAACAACAAACAAAATATATACATATTAACCATTACTAAATACAACCACATACTTTCACAATCTCAATGATAAACATGTCAGATATAAAGGTCACAAATAAAACTCCTCATCATTTGTCAATGCAGTTGCCAGAAAAGTATTGTACATTTGTGCAAACCACAGAAACACTACATTTGTACATCATAATGTTGTGGATACTTTTTAACTTTGCGGTTCTTTATGTTTATATAATGTTGTGTTTAACGTGGTTAGGTTCAGGCACAAAAACCACTTGGTTATAATTTGGAAAACATCATGTTTTGGCTTAAAATACCTGGTTTTGGGGGCTCTGTTCCAACTATAAACACATTGATTGATTACCACGAAAAGTATTTGTTTTCATAGCAAGACAATCAATCAATCAATTTTATTTATAAAGCCCAATATCACAAATCACAATTTGCCTCACGGGGCTTTACAGCATACAACATCCCTCTGTCCTTATGACCCTCACAGCGGATAAGGAAAAACTCCCTTTAATGGAGAAGAAAAATGGTAGAAACCTCAGGAAGAGCAACTGAGGAGGGATCCCTCTTCCAGGATGGACAGACGTGCAATAGATGACGTACAGACAGATCAACATAATAAATTAACAGTAATCTGTATGACACAATGAGACAGAGAGAGACAGAGACAGAGACAGAGAGAGATGCAGGACAGACGGTAATGACAGTAGCTTACAACAACATTAATGATAATATCCCTGGTGGAAAAACAGTGATGGGTTACCAAAACACAACCAGTTTTGTTGTTTGTTGTATAATAGTGGTATGGAGCGGTCTGCAGCCTGGCAGGCTGTCCCACCTAGGTGGCATACCATCCACTCTCTCCTCCACCCCTGATAATAAAGTCAGCTCATATATTAAGTCACTTTAGAAACATTAATATGGGGGCGTCGGTGGCTTAGTGGTAGAGTAGGCGCCCCATGTACAAGGCTGTTGCCGCAGCGGCCCGGGTTCAACTCCAGCCTGTGGCCCTTTGCTGCATGTCACTCCCTCTCTCTCTCCCCCTTCACACTTCACTATCCTATCAATTAAAGGCAAAAAATGCCCTAAAAAATATCTTAAAAAAGAAAAAGAAACATTAATAT